CTATATGAATAATCTAATAAGCTCATTGAATGTATTGATGGTGCCCCTCAGGAGAGAGTAGAACCATGTGCGAGCTTGACCCTTGAGAGTCGCTAGGAACACTTGATAGAGAAGCGCATCAGAAATACGATAAATGTGCATGATGGTTCGAGAATGGTCGACGTGATTGTATGGGTCGGTAACCTCTTCATAGGCATCAATTTTTAGAGTTTGAAACCCGTTGGGATAGGGTGTCGAAGAACCACACCTGCCAAAATAGACGATTCTTGGAAGTTGAGGTGAGCAGGGAAGTGATTCCTTTTATCCTAAAGAAACTCTTCTCGAACCAGGCGTCGTAGTAATCTTATATAATATCAGCAGAAGCGACAGTAAGGTGAGACAATGTCAGGTGAGGTGCATGAGACGGATGAGTCGAACTTATAATGTTGAGAAGATTGGTATCTCGTCTCGGTAGAGGAATGATTTCATCATTATGAGAGAACCCGGTGAGTTGGGTGTTTCCTGTTAAAAGCTGAACTTGTGGTAAGTGAGTTACATTGGGTTGCAGTTGTCTCTCCCCGCATAGAAGATGAAGGTTCTCATGTTGAGACTCCTCCATCCTACGCACTGGATCTTCTAGAGAATGACCTAAGTTATCTTTGTCAGCGGGGTAATGTCTTCTGGAGTAAGAGAATGCAGAGGCTTGATGAACTTGGCTTCGTGATTGTCTTATGGAATGATGGGTATTGGAGCGGAATGTTCTGTTGTTGTAAGTGTTGCGCTTGGTGGCCATGTAACAATTCTTACAAGTATTGTAGTGACAGGAATGATCTATTTTCCACATACAACACCAAAATGATGCATGCTAGAAAATTCGCGTTAGTATAGTAATGGATTATCATCTTAGTGTTGCACAGACTCAGATAAAAGAAAATAACCAGTAATGACACCAGAAGTTTTTACGTGGAAAACTCATAAATGGGAAAAAATCATGGATTCTGACCTAATTGTAAAAATCCACTATATATTGCTGATTACAGAGTCCCTTGGCCCACAAATTGGAAAGGGTTATTACGTTTTCCAATTTACAACGTCGATTGACGGCTTCCATTCGCTGCTGGTCAGTGGTGATTGGTGATAATTGACGAAGATCAGCGGGGGTCGACGATGATCGGTGATGATTGACAGTGACAATAGTGTTTGAAGGTTGTCAGTGGTTGTCGACAACGGTCGACAGTGGTCGACGAGGACAGGGGGGTGCTAGCCTTCACCTCCTTCTCAAAGCTTTAAGTTCTCTCTTAAGCCCTAAGCCTCCCCTCTCATGAGAGCGGTGGGGCTCTATTTATAGTGTTTTAGGTGCAATTAATGTAGAAATATGAACAACTTTGATCAGACGGTCTAGAAAGCTTCCTTCAATTAGACGGCGTTTGATGGACATTTGAGTGCATTAATAATGTATGAATTGAGTGATTGGGCTCGTTGGATTCGCGTTTAGACGCTCGATTGGACTATGAACTCACCGGATTCGGCATATGTTTAACATTCCAAATGTGTCTGAAAATCTACAAGAGTGGTATAATGACTTGATCTGAGCTTGATTTGACTTGAATTGAACTAATTTTGGTAACATTGGGTTCTTCTTGGCGCGTTGGCCAGTTTGACTGTAAGTTTGTTGAAATTAGAGTTGTGAATGACTTTTTTCGAGGTTTGAATATTTTTTGCTTAAAAAATCACCTCGAGATCTGTGTCATGCCCTGAGATTTGTGTCCGATGATATAATTTTATTGATGACATATCAATATTATTCTTTTTATCGAGAGAGAGCTCGAGAAGTTTGTGTCGACTCACTTTTCATGTGGGAAAGCTCAAGTTAAGACTCTCAACCTTCTCTTCAAGACTTACGGTTTCTTTCTAGTATCTTTAGATGATTTCATTAACATTAGTAAGTGTTTAATCCAAGTCTTTTCGGTTTGACATCAAGTGAGTTCTAATTGAACTCAAACTCATTCAATGTAGTTAGTTCTTCAACAATAACCTCACATTACAACTTAGAGAGCTCAAATCCAATCTAAGCCTGATTAGGTTCAACCCATGGGTGTTATGAAACTTCAAGCTTAGCATTGATCTTCTGTCGTAGGGTTATAAGCTCCAAACTTTCCTAACTAAATTTAAATCTCATTTAAAACATGAAACCTAATCATTGGATGGCTTAAAGTGTGAATGATCTTCTCATTATTTGACACTTTATATTTCTTCCATTGGCATCCTATAAAAACTATTTTAAATGTGTGTCAATTCTACTTGAAATTTAAAATGGTTGATCTTAAAAATTCAACAATAAAAATATGTGTAAATTTGAGAGCCACTATTTTTATTGAGATTTTTTACAAAGAATTCTTATGGAATATAATTATTTTTAGAGGATTACCCATACAAGGAACCATGCCCTAAAATAAATTAACACATCATACCCAAATTGGGTAGAGGAAAAATCTTTAACAAAATAAATCATGAGCCTTGAAATCATTAATTTATAATTAGATTCATTCTTGAATAGTATTTTTGTTCATCGAAATGATATATTATTATTGATTTCATGTTAAAATACTTTTACTTAATAACCTGACAGAATGACAAAAAGAGAGTTATCTTCACCAATAATATGATGCTTAATCTTTATCCCTATTAGTGATGTTAAAAGCTCTAACAGTTTGTCATGTTGAATTACTTTATAGTACAATTTGGGCCTCAATAACCCTTGTTCAAGCTCTGCCAAAATCCTTGCAATGGAATTGTATGATGCCCTTTGTGCTATGAAATCAGAAATATCTCAAGTAAATCGAATCATCACTATATTTATAAGTCTCATTTATGGATTACATCCAACCAATTAACCTTCCTTATAATCTTTAACCTAATTGATTGGGAAAATATGAAACCCAACATGTTGACTAAATGGATTTTTTGGGGCAGTTGTAACTGTTTGAAAAGGCAACTATAAAACTACTATAGAAGAAGTTTATTTAAAAAATTGAAATGGTTATTACAATTTATTTTTTTTCAAAAAGTAAAAAACACGGCTTTCTAACATCCACTGCACTAATGAAGTCAGGTTGCATAATACTACTTTTCAATGCAATTTTTTTGAAAAGACGATCAAAATATTGTTTTGCCAAAAATAAAAAAGTATAATGCGACACCACACTGCCAAAACACCGTTGCCCCAAACGTACCCTTTAGGTTCTGTTTGGCGCAGCTGCAGCTTTCTAGCTTTTCAGTTTTTCCCCTAGGAAGCTGGTGTGAGAAAGTTGCTGCGGGGAAGCTAGCTGATTGTTTGTTGCAGCTGTGTGAAAACAGTTGTGAGACAGCTGTGTGAAAACAGTTGTGGGGCAGCTGTTTTTGGAAAAATGATAATTTTGTCCCTATTTAGTTAAACTGTTTGGAACAGAACAATGACAGTCTTATATATGATACAACAGAAGCAAAAATTCACTTTACAAGCTAAAAATGTAAAAAATAGACTTCTACAATTTTTAGCCAACCCCAAAAATCATAAATTTGATACTTTTAAAGAAAAGACAAGATGATATGTTAAAAATGTGTTGAAATGAGAAACTTAGAGGGCCAATAGGGAGACTATATCATACAATAGCAAGTTCCACATGCAAAATACAACCGGGTTAGCAAAATTAACATAAACTACCATAAAATTGATACAAAGGAACATGCAGAAAAACAATGCAGAAATGGAAAGAATCCCTCGACACACAATTTTGAAATGAGGAAGAGTTCAGTTAAAAGCAAGGAAAGAAACTCCAAAACTCAGCCCCATATGTTCTTCTTGAAGCTCCAAAAACTATTACAATCTCATCTAAAACAAAGAAGAAAGCCTGAAACAATACAAGCGAAATCAGAAACTTTGAGAACAAAACAAAAACAGATTATCACATCCCCATTCCTCGTTGGACGGGACCCAAAGACCAATTCAGAGTTGCCCAAATATCAAAATATCAATCAAGGGGGAAAACAAATATCAATCAAGGGGGAAAACAAATAAAACTACAAAAAGGGGAAACAAAAATTCAAAAAAAAAAGCAAGAAGAGAAGAGAAATCAACATTACCGATGTTGAAATCGACGAAGGAAGAACATGATTCTGTTGCCAAGAAGCGATAGACAATAAGAAGAATAAGCAGTTAGAGGGAGGGGCTTCGAAGGCAAGTAAGGGGCTTCGGCTCTGTATGTTGCGATCCAGGGGTATTATCGAACGTTCTCCACGGACGTGGAAAGCGAAAGCTGAGCCGCGGGGTCGATCCCGCAGCTGGCTTTTCGTCCGCTTCAACTTCCTACGGCCGCGAAGTTGGGAACCAAACGGAAAGGTTTCGCGGTTTGGGGCCACGCCGCGTGAAAAAAGCAGCTCAAACGGAGCCTAAATCATACCAAGACTCTTATGTATTTTCTAAGACATACTCAACCTAAGGACAAATTCCTAACAATAATATGAATGTAAACTAAAGCCAAATCTATGATGCAATTAAAAGTAATTGCTACAAAAAAGTAGAGAGAATATGCTAAAATTATTACAAATAAGGGGTTTAGTAGACTCTACACTAATGATTAGTCTTCCTTTACACTGCACTTTTGTATTTTCAAAGTATGCACATGACTCTTTTGTGATTGAGTAAGTTGACATAGCACTCCAATATGTTAGTAAATATGTGAAACCATTAATGGTTGAAGTACAAATTTATTGTTGAATCCAAATCACATGTGATGCATGATATTTTTAAAATATAGAAGAAAGAAATATAAATTAGATAAAAGGGGAACTTCCATACTGGCCACAAAATTTCTATGATGTTACATATATATAGCACCTAAATCTTTAGAACTGTTTCTATATCATCCTATTATCTAAATCATATTAAAATGTAAATAAATTAATATTAATAATGTTGTAAATAAACGTTATACAAATCTATGTAAACTTTATGTATCATATATGTAAACATATAAGAATTTTGGTATATGTATATAAATCATAGAAGAAATCATGGGAGTTGATGAAATGCAAACTAGATAAATCATAAAAATCCCACCTTTCCAATTATTTTGGACAAGAATGATTCAAAAAAGAAAAAAAAAAAAAAAAGAGAAGACTTCTCCCAAAGAATGAAACAACCGTCAGAACAATCTCTGCAATTCTATACAATATCGAATTCCACGGCTAGACAATTGAATGATTGAATCAAATCCTATCTACATAGAAATGCTTGAAGTGGTTGAAGAAGAAACCGAAATGGAAGAGGAAGAAGAAGATGGGGCGACCGTCGGTGAAAACAAGTCGTAGACCTTCCAAAGGTGATCAATAGGACAAGGTTTTCCGGCGTCCATCCGATCCCATGGCTTCCCCTTTCCACTCCAATGGAGAAGACTCACCGGGCCTGGATGCAAAACCCGACAGCTTTCCTTCAAGTTATCGCCACCGAGCCCGTGCTGGTTCCACCGATGATCCAAACCCTCCACCTCACCGGCGAATACCAAGAGGAATGGAGGTAAAGACCCCAAATCGTATATCCTATTCCTCTTATGTACCTCCATCCATCTCTCGATCCGCCGGCTATAGCCCTTTGCACGCCACCGATCAAGATCCATCACCATCACGCCCGTGTTGAAGTAGCACGGCCGGCGACGCCGCCCCTCGAAAGCAGAACGACCCCACGGCCCCTTCCAGAACGCGGTAGTGAAGTAACGGGAGAAATTAGCGTGGCAGGGCGCCGCCACTGCGGCGGGTGGGGCCGCGTCGAATGCGATGGATGCGGAGTCCCAAAGGCGGCGGATGTCGTCGACGACCAGAATGTCGGAATCAAGGTAGATTACGCGGCGGACGCAAGGTGGGAGAAGATCTGCAAGGTAGTTGCGGGCGTAGTTAAGAGGGGTTTCGAGGGCTGGCCGGATCGAAGCGGAGATGAGTCCCAGTACGCGATCCTCGTGGAATCGATGGGCGATGAATCGGAGCGATGGAAATATGGCGCGTATTGCAACAGCAAGATCATTGTCCGAATCGCCAGAATCGGAGGTAACGAAGTGGAAGAAGAGGGAATCAGGGCAGGAGCTATGGCGGAGGATGGAGTGGACGGCGGCGATCGATCCGCGGAGGTAATGCGCGTCGAGAGTCATGGCGATGCGGACAAGAGAGGGATCACATTCGCCGGCGGTGGAAAAGGGGCAAGCGTCGGCGTTGCGGAATTTGGGAGCTTCGGAGTAGGAGGAGGGGATAACCTCAGAGAAAGCAATGGAGATTAGGGAGAGGAATAAGAGGGCCGCGGTGGCCATGATTTCGCCGGCGATGGCGGTGGCGATGGCGGTGGCGACGGCGGTGGAGGAGAAATCTTGGGGGTAGAAACCGTCGGGTAAATGTCTTTTTATATAAAAGGAGAGCATGGAAGGAGCAAAGAGGCACGCGGTTTGGCAATTCTAGGCGTTTGATTCCTCCCAAAGTTTAGTTTCAATTGGGATTCTCTTACATTTTCAATTATATAAAAAATTATTTATTTAGGGGTTAGATTATAAATATATATATATGACTTGATC